CCCGGTGCGGTCCGCACAACCCCCCACCCTAGTTACGCCACAGGGGGGGGGTCGTCAGAAATGTACACGTGCAACAAGGGAAAAAAAGGGGGGGAGAGGAATTTGGCTTTTTTTGCATACGTACCATATAGATGGCCCTCCCATGTGTTTGCTTTGGTGCTGTTACGTAATTGTGTGACAATTATCTCTTACGACTGAACCACGGATATTCAAAAAACAGATCAAACTAGAGAATGTATTCTCAACTGTTCAGGGCCGCAACATTAGATTTCCACATATTTTATTGGATCTGAGAGGGCCTTTGAAAAATTATTTTTAGAACGCACCAAACAGCTGTACTGTGTTTAATAATCACCCTTCATTCACTCATTTACAGTTTGTGGTAGTTATCAGATTGTAATAACTACTTTTTTAAGTTACCTTTTTAGACGCAAGCTTAACTCAATCTTACTAGACACGTGATGCGAATAGTTTTGTATACATTATATATACAGTATGCGTATTTATTTACCATTAAGATGCTGTATTTTACGATTTTGAGACGATATTGTACGATTTTAGGAGTTCGAGGTTAAACTGGTCCTCAGTTGGTTTAGAACTGAGTTCCTATGGCAGTTGGCCAATGCCAGAAATTTCTATAGCTTTTGGATTAGACCAGAAAATTATACTGCAGGGGTCGGGAACCTTTTCATGGCAAAGAGCCAAATATTAAATTTATCTTAATTAAGATCGAGTAACTAGTAGTATCCAAGAGCGACATGAGAAAGATCAGAGAGACACATGGGGCTAGCGAAACGCGAACAAAATACAGAAGTTCACAGCAGAGGCGTAGCGAGGTGGGGGCAGGGGTGGGACAGATTCCCCGAGTGCAAGCTAGTTAGGGGCACCAAAATGTGCTTTGATATTATATTATTGGTAAATATAATGGGTTTGAGAGTTGAAAAAAGAAAAGGGGGCGCTTTAAAATGGATCTTGTCCCCGGGCGCGAATCTTGTCCTTCGCTACGCCTCTGGTTCACAGTGTAGTTGGTCAAGACCAGACGTTTCTGGAGTGGTTGGTGGTGTAACGGTTTGGATTTGTCAATTCTCAGATAATGACTACCTGTTGTAAACACAAATATTTAACAAACTACAGAAATTTAAATTTTAAGCCATTATTTCTCAGCCTAGGTGTGAGGACTAGTGATTATAAATATATATTTTTCAACTTTAAAATGCATTATAAATTTTTGGGGGTGTGGGAGACTCAGTAAAACAATTCGTAGGGGATGCAGAAAATTAAAAAATGTTTGGGAAGCCCTGGGGAAAAACGTGGATCTAAAATGGTACAAAGAAATGTGTTTCCATTTAATTCAACGTCGAATAGGCCAACTTCATGCATGGCAACCAAAGTTATCGCAAAGTCAATCAAAATTGAGCTTTTTCGTTGTAAACATTTTTGTATTATTTATTATAAGTGACCATGGAACTGAGACTAAAAAATGTATATATTAAAAAAAAAAGTTGTCTGTGGTCTCAAAATGGAGAAACGCTTAGGTCCAAATTTCAATGTATAGACAATATGAAGGCAACAAGCAATTTCAGTCTATTAATTAAATATAAAGTCTACACAAGTTCAGTACGCAAACCTTTAATTGCAGTTTCGATTTTTAAGAAGGGTCAGCCGCATCCTTGTGGTGTAAAGACTGTATAGAGGCAGTGGCGTCGCTAGGGGGGTGCGGGAGGGGGGTGCGGACCGCACCGGGTAACACCATCTCAGGGGTGACACCAAATTGAAAAAAATGCATATTTACAGAGAGAAAAACTGCTCCGTCAAATCGAATTTCATAACTGATCACCTGTAGGCCTACATGTTCCACACACGTAACCCATCCACATCCACGTGCGTGCTTTATTAAAAGTTCAAGGTTGATGCCTCATAAATGGGGTGACCTTATAATTTGGTCAGAAAAACACCGTTTTGGCCAGGATTGAAGTGTACGGTAACTTTCCTAAGTAACAGGAAGCTAGAGTTATCTAAGAAATAAAGCTTTCCATTGATATCAAATACGATGTGGTTGAGCGATTCTCAGTCCATGATTCGAATCGGTAAAAATTAAACACTTTCAAAAATTACACTTCACCCATTTATAGAGTTAACAAAATAATTTAATACAAACTTTTCTAATATCTTTTTTTGAAATGTAAACAACAAAAAATGGTTTTTGAATCAAAATATATTAAAACTAAGAAATACTCAAAAATAAATATTTTCGCCGATTTGCCTCTAGAACTGCCCTTTAACATTTGAGCACTATTAATGTCATACAGCACAAGATCTTTTACACGCTGTCTGTGATTTCACGTTTATCTGCTACATTTCCATTTGGGTTTATCTACCTAAGGAAGTTAATCTTACACATCAGTATCTGCAGATTAAAGGATTTACTTTTGACAAAGTGGTGACCAAATCATGATTTGGAAAAAACGGGACGCTTTCAAGGACGGTTTTTTGTTTGTTTTTTTAAGGGGGGGGGGGGGGGGGGGGGGGTGGGGGTGGGGGGGGGGTTAGGGGGGGGGGGGGGGGGGGGGGTTGGGGGGGGGGGGGGGATACCCTCCGGCTAAAGGGGGATCCGGGGGCCTCCGCCGGAAACTGTTTATTGAAATGTGCTTATTTTAACTATGAAATCTAACCTAGAAATCTACTTGGGGCACTCAGTCTTTTCCTATACTTCACTGATCTGATGTGCTGTTTTATGTCTGAACGTCCATCATGACCAATACTAAAAACATTATTGCAAACTGTGCACTCGGCTTCTCTTTTTAATCTAGTTCCACTCTTTGGAATACTGCTCCATAAACTTACATTGACGCTTGGGCATAATTATTGTCTACATGAGAATATAATATAAAATTAAAGAATAAAGTTCAGCACATTAAACAAACACCTGTCACTCTGACACGAACAGACCGGCAGGGATCACACATAAGAGTAAAACATTACATGTAGCGCTAGTGGAATCAAAATTGTTTTGTGCACAGCTACATCCTTACCCCCATTCTACCTTTGCGTCTTCAAGTCTCGTGTCTTTCGCTATAAATTTACATAGATCTATGGCAGGGACACTGGTGGAGGGGAAACAGTGCAGCCATCACGCGAGCCCACATCACTACTGGCACTGGCAACAAGGCTAGCCAAAATATTACTTGAAGTTATATTATAAATTAGGAAGTTTTATTGATTAGAAAATGTGTTTGGTTAAAAAAAAAAAAAGAAAGGGACATTGAGGCGTCCCGAGAGACTTTTTCTGGACAGCGGTTACGATTGTGAAATAACGGGACGATCCCGTTTTTACGGGAAGTTTGGTCACCCTAACCTAGAGGCATCAAGATTATTTCTGCACGAAAAAGTGCTGTAGCTTGGTGGAACATGCTGTTGAAAATGCACTTTTAAAATAAGACAAATATGGAATTTCTGCAGAAAGGAGATTAATGTTTAAGGAGAGAATGGCAGGAGAACAATTAATAGATGCTGGACTCTCTCTGCCTGAAGAAAACAGTATGGTGATGCTGGAGTGTATTGACAGCTTTCATTCTGAACCCCAGATAACATCATCTACGATCAAGAATGTAGCAGATATATTTGGGGCTGTTCAACCCAAGAGTCTACTATCAGCTAGTGAAGAAGATTGATTGATGTCCGTTCCAAAGTTAACCCCTATCTATGTTGAATTATCAGAAGATGAGCTTTTAAAAGAAATATTATGGCTTAGAAGACTCCGAAAGGCCACTGATATTGAATTTCACAAAGTCATGGACTGGTCACTATCTGATGTCTTTAAATTCATAGCTGAATGAGACTTCATAGAATCTTTTCCTGTACTCTCGCTAAGCCTTCAATTGTTTCTTACGATCTGTGTGTTTGTGGCTTCATGTGATCAGAGCTTTTCAATATAAAGGCTTATCAATAACTATTTACGATCCACCATGGGACAGTCAAGGCTTTTTGATCTGGCTCTAATATCAATGAAAATAGATACGGTGACGGTTATTGATTTTGCTCAAACTCAGTTGATTGACAGATTTGCAGCTTTGAAAACCAGGAAATAATTTTTTTTTTAATAAAGTAAATTTAATGTAAAAATAACGATAACGTAATGCTGTTACAGTTCTTAAATACATTTACCTCATGAACTTCAATTATTTTTTTTTCGTCATTGTTATACTGTGGACTTATTTTTACAAGGAGAAATCCATCGGGGAATTCGGGGGGGGGGGGGGTGGGGACACCATGAATTTACCGCACCGGGTGACACCAACCCTAGCCACGCCACTGTATAGAGGGTAGTCAATTTGTGATAGTGTCGGGGAGAATAGTTGAGGCAATGACATAGGAAGTTGGTGCGGATGGGGCGGTCAACCCCGGGTGGCACAATTTTTTCTTTATAATGTAGGGCGGCATTTTCGGTCAACTGCCTAGTTTTTTCGTGGAACTTGAGCGGGAAACTGCTTGGCCTGCCCCGGGCGGCACTAACCCTCGCTAAGTCAAGAGTTGGGGAAGTGAAGGTAGGTAGGAGATCGTTAAATTTGAGGAGGCGCGTGGAATGTCGTAACTCGTAGGTAGGATAAAAGAATCCTTCTGTTGGTAGGAACTGAGGGAATGGTTTGACTTTGGGATGTTAAGGATGTATAATGTATTCGGGTCAATGAGATGGTCGAGGATGTTGGTAGAGACGGGTTTATGGGAGACTTCATATGTGGTCTATCCATCTATATTCCGTTGAGAGCCATTGTATTTCTTTATATATAATTTTTAAAAATCAAATAAAAAAATGAATAAAGTATATAATTATTTGTAATCTTGTATAAGTACCGGGGCAATTATTACTTTTTTTTTTTTTAAGAAACGTCGTTTTCATTTATTTTGACGTTCACCGATTGGTTACTATTTTCTCGCATGACCAATGAGCAGCCCCTTTCCCAAAATAGTATCCCTTCCTCGCTTCCGTCACATCCGGGTTCGTTTCATCTTCAGCTGTGATGAGAGCAAGAAAGAACAAAATGGCGACGGGCACTTCGTCTCAAAACGAAGCAAGTGGATCAGCTGAAGACAATGTTGATCGGTTGAAACAATTATACCCAGCTGTAGATGAAGAAGAAACCCCTCTCCCACGTTCGTGGAGCCCAAAAGACAAATTTAATTTCATTGGTCTTGGTCAGAATAATCTTAGAGTCCATTATAAAGGTTAGTATTTTGTCTTTGTTATTTTCCCCAAGTCGCAGTTGACACACTTTTCATAACCACTTGTTCTATTTTTAGTAGTACGTGTGTCTGAAGACTGCTAAAAGACTTATATAAGTTAAACATTATTGATCTGTTAAGGGGGAATCTGTGGAAACAAACACATTCAATTTATAGTTAAGACAATGACAAGGGTGGTAAAGGAAGGCAACTATTTATTTAGTATTATTTACTATAATTTCATAATTGTTATGATGAAGTTTACTTAAAAATAGGACTACCTGCCAGTGAGTAGTATGATTGTCTAAAGACTCAAGATTACTCTAGAGATACTTATCACTGTGTACTTTTATTGCGGGTGTGGTACACAAAACAGTAACATCCTATCGATAGATATGATCCATTGCTGTTTTAATAGCCTGTGACTTAAATAAATATATTTATATACCATACTATATCAGAGATGGGCCTATAAATTATTTAAATTTATAGTATTTATAGGTAAATTTTGAGTTAACAGTATGGGTTTTGCCAAGAGTTTTCTCACTCTAAGCGCAGTGACGTCACATTGGCAAATCCCAACACTGGACTTGGGTGAATAGATCTATTCTTTGAAGGACCCGAACGATGTGTGTCTTAACATTCCTGTTCTTTATAGAGCATTACTCGCGTCGTAAAGGATACGGTTAAAAAGATGTGTTTGGAAATGAAATTTTCCATTAAATTTTTATTAAAATTCAACTTACACATTACAAAAGGAGGAAAAAAGAAACACATCCGTGCTGATACCCCCAAGACCCAACACCACCTGTATGTTAAACTTTGGTAACAAAAGGAAGACTACTGCTTAAATTACATTTGGAATGATCTTCTAAGAACAGGGGAGGGGCCCTCCCCTTGCATTAAATACCAAAATAAGAAACATAGAAATTCTCTGGGGAGGGGAGACTCCTCCCCAATTTAACAAAAAATATAAAATAAGAAAACAAGAACTTGCATTATGTAAATATAAATACAAACATCGAAATCTTTTTAGTATGGCACCTCCGTGACCCAAATACCGCCTTACCGCTAACTCAAAAACAGCAAAATTTATGTCAACGTTAAAACTTATTTTTATTTCGCAGTAGATTAGGTTTTTATAAACTTCACTAACCCTTGCTCCTGATTCTAAAATACCCATGCCCCTGGGCTCCAGTTGGAAACTTTCAAGAAACTGCTCTGTTTTGATTCCTTAAGAATAGCACTTTCCATCACCTTCATTTCTATAAATTGCAAAACATTACTAAAACATAACAAAAACAATGGTCATTGGGTGAGGCCATAATTTTGACCTTTTGCAAGTCAAGTGGTAAACCCTGAACTCAGTATTTACTACAGATTTTCATATACAGACTGTCAATCTTGGGTAAGGTATGGGAGACCGAAATATGGTTATGGCGGGTTGTGAATTTTGAACGCTTAGACCAATAAAGTTGGATCTCGGGTTCATAGGGTTAAAATTACAAAGTATAATCCAAATCCAATATTGCAATAAATGCACACCATCTACCAAGTCATTGAGTTGAATATATTTCATTAATTTATTCTTACAGTCATTTAAAAAGTAAACATAATATCATTTAATTAGCAAGTTTTTAGAAAATCTATATTTTAAATATCAGCCATAAACCTTTTGATCACTTCTATATGTCATTGTATCTTGTATTACTAAAGAGAGCTGTTAAGTTTAGGCTTAAATTTTTGCAAATTTTAAAAAAATGTGAGCATGGAGTCCTACCAAATACATTCAGCCTGTATCAGATGCTAAAGACTGTAAGATACTAAGATGCGGTCTGTATATATTCCTTTTACATTTTAAATGAAAAATTACTAATTACTGTTTAAATGTCAACCGTTATTGAATTGCAAAGCTAAAGTACTCTAAAAAGCTAATAAGTCTGTTACTGCCTTTACTTGTTCATAAGTCGACTCTCTTAGTGTTGTCCAAAAAAAGCAGGAAAAGGGTTAACCTGCTCATAATCTGATGGTTTAAAATAAGTAAGTTGAAGCTATATGGTACTAATGAAAATAATTTATTTTTGTTAAAATTCAATCTTTTAGAAATAATTATAATTTAAGTAAAAAGACTTAAAAACCATGAAAGTGGGCACTGCCAGAGACAACATACTGTATTATGTATGAAACAGACACTTGCTTTGCATTTCTATATGTATATACAGTAACCATAATGAACATTTTCAAAAATAGGACCTCTGCAATCTAGAATAGCAGTTTCATTATTCATTGTAGGTACTTTGAGAGTCGTTCACAGCAGTCGCAAAATGAGGATGAAACATGTGACCCAATTTTGCATACCATCTTATGTTGACTGCTGTTAATTATTTTTTTCCTCATAATTTTATATAATACAATTGTTGATCCAGGAGAAAATTATAGAAATCTCAAATAGCCCACTCATTAGCAGACCACCTCATTTATTCTGATTCTAATAGACTACGTTGCTTCAACCAAGTACTGGCATATGTGCAACGGTTTCGGAAGCGATGCGGCTATCCTAACCGCTCCTAGCGGGTGCCAGGGCAGCCTTGAAACTCTGATTGATGTCGAGTCCATGGCGGCATTGTCGAGTTGGTTTCAAGTAATTATTGTTCGTGGGAAAAATGATTTTTATTGAACTGTGTTACACCGATGCACAGTGAAGCATTCATCATTGTTCTGGAGTTGTCAGAGGTGAAGTCAGTGTTTATTGAGTGTTTGGCTCTGATTAAGCGACCTGGCTTCTGCGGGGTTAGATACGTGTTAGCTGGAATGGCCGACACTAACCCCGTGACCACTTTATTCCTTTTAAATATTTCCAAAAAGTCATCTTATGAATCAGTATATTCAACTTTAATGTGATTTTAAAAGAAAGAAATCTGTTTTTAGTTGTTTTGCAGCCAGTAGCATACTACATTTTCTCAATCTTGCTGACACCAGTGTAAATAAACTCTGTATAAAAGAAGTCATATGGGTGCTTAGGCCTAATATATTCTGCTATGCATCTTCATGTTGTATAATGGTATTATTATGGCCTATAACAAATCTCATAAGGTGTTGGCAAGACCCATAAAGATGCAGCTAGTGTCAGAGCAACACATCCAATCCCTGCTTCATGTGGCATATACTATTTTGAGGTTAAAGTCATCAGCAAAGGCAGAGATGGGTAAGTGATTCAGTTTTTCTTTATATATTGCTAAGAATTGGAACCTAAGATGCACTTAAAAAGAATTTTTACTACTATTTGTCAAAATACCAATTTAATTTATTTCTTCTCGACGAAACAACCCTACACCCTAACCCTTAATTTCACATTTCTCATTACCACTTTTCAAAAAGTGTTTTTTACCCAAATTTGATTAAAACGCTGCTCAGAAAAAAATTAACAACTACATTAAATTTGTTACTAGGGTCATACCTTATAGGCAGATTTTCAGTTAACATATAATACAACCACTCATAATTTATAATGTATAGTGCTATGAAAATAAATATTTTAATTAATGGTTTGTAAGTTACTTAAAATATTTCCTAACCAATCAAAATTATGTTGTTTCTATTAGAGAGCATAGAAAAATATAATTCTGCTGAAACCCATTTATCAGAAAAATGGCTGATGTACAATTATCTGCTAATTAATCAGTGCAACCCATGTCTTTTTTAAGGTGTCTTGATACCCAAAGAATTACCACTATTTGGTAATGAGTGTCACCATTAAAAGTTTTCTTTTAAAAACATATTCTTGTTTCAAAAATATAGAAAATGTAAGATTAAAAATCCTACTAGTTGTCTGTTTTAGTTAATACTTTTTAAAAGAGTCAACATTTTTGTATTTAAATATACATTGAGACTGAGCAAGTACTGTTTCTGAATAATGTGGCAAAGGTTAAATAAAGAAGTTTCTAAATTTAGACATGACTTCAGACCAGTGGTTACATAGTTATGGACAATTGCTGTAGAGATTGCTGTCCAGATATTCAGTTGCTTGCTATATTTCTTACCTAAAGTATACTAATTTTCAAGGGGGGGGGGGGCAATATTTAAAAAAAAAAATTATGGATTTAATTTTTCTGATGAAGATGTTATTTTAAGAATTTACCAGTATTTCCTTTCTTAACTAAATTAGAGATTGCTGTCCAGATATTCAGTTGCTTGCTATATTTCTTACCTAAAGTATACTAATTTTCAAGGGGGGGGGGGCAATATTTAAAAAAAAAAATTATGGATTTAATTTTGCTGATGAAGATGTTATTCTAAGAATGTACCAGTATTTCCTTTCTTAACTAAAGAATACAATAACCTTTTTCATAATGATATTGCACCATGCTATTAACATCCTTATCTCATTCTTTTCACTCAGTCATTAAAAGTCTGCTTTTTTTATATTGAGGCTGGCAGCTATTTGAATCTCTGATTCTAATTTCTGTTAATTTAGGAAAAGAAACTTAGCCATAATAATAAATTATGCAATGTACTATTCAGCAGTCTATGAATTCATTGTGAGAATTTTATTATTTAAAAAAAACAAACTTTAAATTCTGCCAAAATCTGGTAAAGACTACTGTTATTTTTGCATAGACAGATGATTTTTAATCCCACTCCCATTGGTTGCTGCCTTACAACTTTGGAGATTGATACATTTTTTAATTTTTTTTTACTGCTTTACATGAATTAAAAAGTCCATTCCATTTGGCAATTTTACCTATATCCGGGGAAGGACACTCCCCCCCCCTCTCATTGAACCTACTACCTCTCATCCCAGAGGCAGACAACATATTACATTTTGCCACAGGTCTGATAGATAAATTTCTTTAAATAACAAAACAGAAGTCCAGCAAGTCTATTTCCCTTTTAAAAATTGTCATTATTTAAAATAATTCTTAATACACAAAATTATATAAGGCTTCATGTATACCGGTATATTCATTTTACAGGTACATGGGGATTGGATTGTCTGCACAAGGTGTCAATATGAATAGACTTCCAGGTACTACATAGTTTCATATGCTATGTAATTAATTTAATGATTTGGAATGCTTACATGATCTAAGAGCAGGTAGGTAATTATGATTAAGATTACAATTTTTATAAGAGATATCTCTCAGTTTTGAGTAAAGAAGTTGAGCTCAATTGTTGGCCTGGACAATTTTTCTAATATCCAGATGCTTACTCTGTAATGTTGACCTGATCTGGTATCTCAGACTATAATGCACAAATGCTATTAATTGTAATTGCCGAATTTTTTACATTATAGGAGTGGGCTTGTTGGTTAATTGATGCCTTTCTTTTGATATATGTTCAGCATGTGCAATGAAATGTATGCCTATTTTTAAAATGTTTATATTGAAATTTTATTTACATAGATTATCTAGGTTTTGTAAAATGAAATGTATTTTTTTATTTTAGACAATATTTATTTAAAAGAGGTTGATTGGTTATTTGTTCAAAATTGAGGCAATTTGATTTTTGGATTTTTAATGGCCTATGCACTGAAAATGTATTCCATGGTTTTACATGGGCTATTAGAATAAATGTCCGGCTGTTAAACAAAAAATCCTGTTCTGTTTCTTACAGGCTGGGATAAGCAGTCTTATGGTTACCATGGAGATGATGGCAATTCATTCTGCTCCTCTGGTGCTGGTCAGTCATATGGACCAACATTTACCACAGGGGATACAATTGGTTGCTGTGTCAATCTTATTGATCACACATGTTTCTACACCAAAAATGGTGTCAGTCTAGGTAGGTGGATGATCCTGTCCTGAGTCTTTTTTTTTTTTCATTAGGAAATATTTAGAAAGCTTCTTCTTATATTTGTAATCGCTTCTTCTTATACCTGTAATCCCTTTTATTTTGTGTACCAAATGTATTTTCACCCCAAGCAGGTTTTAGTTACATTATTTGTGCTAACGATTATTATAGAAAAAAAAAAAGGCCAATGGTTATTAGCTTCTAATAAATGAAAGCAACAAAATTTTGAAACTTATGAGGCAAAAGTAGGGTGTACAAATAAAAAAAAAATATTTTACATTTAATAGTTGCTTTAGTTTCAATATTTATAGGGAAATCTTCAAGCATTTTTTTAGTTAATAAATGTGAAGATTGTAAACTAATTAATAATTTTCTGCCATTCTTGTCATTGAATTAAATATCTACTTCTTATCCAGGTATTGCCTTCACAGATCTTCCGGTATGTTTTTCTGAGTCATTTCACTTAAACATTTACAATGGTGTCACTGATTGATCAAATCATGTTGCTATCAATGTTTAAGATTTGTGTTGTTGGCCTATTAATTTGTAGAAATTTATATAGTGAAACATTTGAGAAAAAAGAAAACAAGACAGTTTATTAACTGCAATTAATGGTATTTTTTCAACAGTCTAATTTGTACCCCACCGTTGGCCTCCAGACCCCTGGTGAAGTTGTGGAGGCTAATTTTGGCCAATTTCCTTTTGTTTTTGATATTGATGACTATAAAAAGGTGAATATTAAAGCATTATAAAGTTATTTATGTTTCAAGGATGTTAGTATGAACGATAACCTTTCTGCAAGAAAAGAAAGATACATTCTCAAAACTAATAAAAATATATTTCATTTAAAATCATCTCTCATAATTAACAACCTTTTCATTTTATGTATGTACTATTTAGGAATGGAGACTGAAGACGAAACTAACAATTGAGAGATTTCCAGTCTCAGACCGCAAGGGGGAGTTCCAGTCAGCTCTACACAGGTACAGCATACTTTATCTTTATATACAACACAAAAGATATACACTTTTTTTTTTTCACTGCTGAACAATTGTGCAAATTCTATATTTCATTTACATATCAAGTTATAATTTCAGTCCATTTTTACTATAATAATTTTTTTACAGGATTGTTTCCACATATCTAGTCCACCATGGATATTGCTCTGCTGCTGAGGCATTCTCTAAATCCACTGACCAGCCCATTGTAGAAAATATTGAATCTATAAAAAACAGACAGCGTATGTTATTATTTATTTATTTTTAAAAAAAAATACGTTTTGCAATAAATCTTAAATTGTTTGTAGTATTGTTTCTTTAGAACATTCTGCTGCTTATGGTTATTATAGTTTCTCTCTCTTTTTTTTTTCTGTAAAATTTTGGTCGTCAAATTATTTTTATTACTTTCAGGAATTCGAATTATTTTTATTACTTTCAGGAATTCAAAAGCTGGTGTTAGCCGGACGAATGGGGGAAGCGATTGAAACCACACAATACCTGTACCCCCATTTATTAGATACTAAGCCTGATCTTTTGTTTATGCTCAAGTGTCGTCAGTTTGTGGAGATGGTCAATGGAACTGACAGTGAAGTAAGAGGCGGTAATTCGAGCTACCACAGTATAGGTACAGGTATTGTTCATAGCCGCAGCCCAAAATCCTATCTTAGCGATGGAAGTAGCCGTTCCAGTCCAGCACAAAGCCCCCACCCTTACAGCAGGGCAGGTACACCTCCATCTCAACAGCATCAATATTCAGTTCACTACAGTCAACAGCAGACTTTTAACCAGCAATCTCATCAGTCCCATCATAACCGTGGTTCTGGCGGCTCAGCTTGCAACAGTCCCAGCCGATCTTCAGGGAAAAGCCAGGGTCGCCAGAGCCCAGGCTCTGTGTCAACTGCCCACCACAATTCGCAGCATCATTATCACAACAGCAGCTATAATAACAGCAGTGACAATGGCAATAGTATGCAGAATAATCATCCTTTAAACTGTGGTCATATTGGTGAGGCTGAGGCTTTATTAAACTCTGCCAATGCAATAGCCGTTGGTGATCATTCATCCATGAATGGGGGCCCTGTTGGCTCCAGGTTAATTGACACTGAAGAGATGGAGTTGTCAGATGAGGGGGATCATGCAAGTCCCCAGTCAAATGGAAATTCTCATATAAATGGAAATTCAATACATGATGATGAAGAAATGGGTAAGAATTTATATCTTCTTTATTATAATATATAATTTACAGTACAGCTATGTTAAATTTAAATATGTTTAGTAGTACATATAATTCCTATGTGAAGGATGAAAGAAGTATAAATCATTTAAAAACAAAGAAACCTTCAATCGTTTTTTTGCTAATTTTGCATATAAAAGCTGTGCTGGTGTGTTACTTTGTTGGCAAAAGTTGTTTAGTAAAAAATAAAATACTGGCAAATATAATCTGTTCAACCTGCTGGAAAATTGATGATTCAACGCTCTTGTTTTATTTGTTGAGAGTAAAAGATGTGTTTCTTATTTACGATGATATATGATGATATATTTTGAAAATCTTTCCCTTAAATACATTTTAATGCTTCAATTCATTTGTTGATAAAAAGCAATAAGTGTGCACTATAAAAAATCATTTCAATATTCTTAACTAAATACTAATGGTGCAGATACATTAAAAAGAAGATAGTGTTCAAATTTACACAATTTTATTTAATTTTGACACATATTCATTTAAAAAGCTTCTTGCAAAACAAAAATAGATTATATTTTTATTCATTTGAAAAAAGATGTGAGTTGAAATGGAACATTGATTATTCTCCTTATTTTTAGTTTACTTTTATTACATCCTAATTTTTTTGTACTGGTATTTTTTATCCATAAGTTTATTAAAACATGGATGAAATAGATTGAATTATTTGCTTTATATTAATATTCATTCTATTGGGATGTGTAGATGTTGATGTGCCATCCCACCGTAGACAGATGTGTGGTGGTAATGAAGCTGCCATTGAAAAGATGTTATCTTTTGGAAGGGAGCTGAAAATGATGAGTCAAAGACTGCGTAAAGAATTCGGCAAAAATGAGGCAAATAAGAAAGCATTGCAGGTATATAAAAAAAATTGTTTACACATTACAAAAATCTTTTTTTTAAAAATGCCTTGAAAACTTTTATAACGCACGTTATTAATCTTACCTTGTTACTTAAGGAATTAAAAATCACACTTTTAAATCGTCCAAATTAAATTGAATTTTATGAATGATTGTGCTTGTGACGATACTTTAGGGCAAGGTTTCCCAAATTTAAAAGGCATTGCTACTTAAATAATAGGTACAAGACTTAGTTAAGAATTTGTAGGGGGTGTGGGACTAGTCAAATAATTCTTAGTGGGAGGGGAGGTTGGGAAACATTGCTTTATGAATTTTATCTTCTTTCTTTATATTTATTTTATTCTTGCATCTTCTTAAATATGTGTATAACGTTTGTAGTTAATTTTAATCTAACAGAAAAGGTCCTGACTCCTAAATTTTAGATGTTAATTTTTACAGGATGCATTCAGTTTATTGGCCTACTCAGATCCATGGAATAGTCCTATAGGCAGCCAGCTCTTACCTGTAAAACGTGAACCAGTCTGTGCAGCACTAAATAGTGCTATTTTAGGTAATACTTTTACCCTGGTCAAAATTTAGAATGGCACTGGTTACTAGCAGTGAATAGAGGGCAAAGTCAACAAAGTTTGTTGTTGTTTTTTTTTTAAAAAAGAAATGGGGTGGTGGTGATGTTAATCTTATTACTTTCAGTCAAATTAATAAAGATGATTTATGGATTGGTTGAAACAGTTGACCCATGTAGCAGCTATTAGATGTACACCATAGGGCTTAATTTTTTTACAATTTATGTTTTGGGAGTGTGCAATTCTTATTTCTTTATACTTATATGCTATTAATTTTTTTACTGCTAGCCAATGGAATAGAATTTGACAGTTTTTTAATGCAGTATACATAGATCTAACATTATTTGATGTCCACTGATAAAATTCTATAATTCCATTATTAATACCATTTTTTTTATTCTTCAAGAATCCAAAGGTTTGCCAAAGCAGCCACCGCTAGAATTGACCATTGGTCAAGTGACCCAGTGTATGCGCCTTATGTCAAAGTCAGGGATTGGAGCTTGTGCGTTTGCCAGTGTGTCTGATTACCTTCACTAACACATAGTTATGGCTTAGACAACCCATTAGTATTTATCAAACGTCTGGTTCTTTAAATTTTAGCATCCTTACCTCACCTTCATCGGGACACTGTTATTGCTGCTATCAGGATCATTACAAGACTGGCTGCCCTCTCAAGAATCGTCGGCTTTAATAACAGCCCAATCTAAACCGACACCTTCCATTCTGTTAATGCATTCATGTGCTTTTTCAGTGTTTGGGTTTAGTGTGGAACCTTTTGTGTGATTTATGGGGTCATTATCTGTAATGGAATCAGATACATTTGGATGGCAGACAGATGACAAGGAAATGCACATGTCTACGTGTAAATATGCATGCATGCTCTCTAAGCAAGAAATGAGTTGTTTGTATTCATGTACTCAGATCAATTTTTAATGTAGATTTTTGAAAGCAATGATGGTCAGTCTGTAAACAACTTTGAGAATGTGATAAAAGCTAAATAATTCTTATGTAAAAGACCGGGCTTGTTGCATTCACCACTAGAGCACTATTGGCTTTGTATGCCATAACTTAGATAATGTAAAATCGCTTCATCAAAATCCTTCAAAGAAATATGTGCTACCGGTAGGTATATATTACCATTTTAAGGTTTCAAATGGCAATGCTTAACATCAGGTTTGTTTTTAAAAAACTAGCTAATTTTGACATATGATTAGATTTATTGCTGTTGGTAATTTTTACACCTTGTCAGTCTATTCTATAATTGAACATTTTGCAATTTTGCGAAATGTATCTTCTGTCAATATGTCCTCTGTTGAAAGAAAAAATATAATGTTTCATTTTTTATTCTGAACATTTCTAAGAAAAATGCTTTCACATTCATTGATAGATAATAGAATTAATTATAGTGCCATTAGGTAAATCATCAATTTTTTGAATAACAAAGTTATGTGGTTGTAGTTGTATAACAAGCAGAGTTCTTCCATGACTGGATTTAATGTTACTTTTTTAAAAATTTCCACATCACAACTTTGGGTCCCATAAATATATGAGGCCCCCTACAGCCAAAGGGGTTACAGTGCTCATGCTACAGCTCTGTAGCAAGCCTATCATGATGTCCAGACCATACAATAATTACAAAGGTTAAAAATAATGCACATAAACATTTACATTTCTCTAGTCCAAAAACAAAAAATGTGCCTGCATGACAAACTTGTTAATACTAGTTTTGATTTTGATGTATCAAATTTTGTACAGGTTCTTCTTCAAAGTCTTTTGAAATCATTAATACATTCCAGGGTTAGTCACTGTTACTAGTGTTTTCTGCCTACTGTGATGGAACAGCATCCATTTATCTTTGGAAAATGTTACTCTAATTGTGAGAACTAGTCAATGTCAGCGATAGGAATATATTTGTTTAAGAACATGGAGACAACTGCCCACTGATCCAACGTGTGAGACATGCGTGTTAGACATGTGTGAGGAATTTTAAAAAAACTGTTAGTAGAATAAGTAGGAGGGAAATAATATTTCCTTCTGAAATGGGCTGCATGCTCTTTTTTTACAACATTAATTAAAAATAAGCCTAATGGTTTCAGCAAACCTGAATACATAATACAGTATCATAGTAACACAAATAAAAATTCTCTAATAAGTTATATTGGTTGTTGAAATGTAAAATATCAGTTATAATTTGTGTAATCCTTCAATGGAGCATTCAATTTAGTGCATTTCCTTTCACCACAGAGACATTATTGTGGTTTCTTGCTCTGTAGGCAAAAACTTGTCAAATTATGTAGAGTTGTAGATTTTTGTGTGGTTTTGTAAGTATTTAGTTTGCATGTGAATAAGTTTAATAATCTGGGTTAAATGTTGACTGAATATGTTGAAATGTATATAACTTTCTTGCAAGTGAAATTGTCTAATGCTTGTTAATGACTATGCAAACTTTTATTCCCATTACATAACAAACCTTAATGCCCTTTGTAAGTCTTATTGAAAAAAAAAAAGATTCAGTGCAGACCACTTAAAATCAGTCTCTTCAGATTTTCTTACAACTATTTGACAAAATTTCCATGAATTAGCACATTTTCTGGAATTGCTTTTTTAAATAAAAAATGCCATCATGAGGCTTTGAATTCTTGCCATGGGTAATTGGATTCTTGTTTTAGTAATTTACACCAATCAATCTTCTGATCTTTATTGGCCGAAATTCTGAAACGTTTGTTGATTTATTCCTCCTTTGAGCAATATACTTAGCTGCTATTTGAAGCTGTTATACTTTGCAGTTGGATATACGTTCATTGATTATCTGATGTCCTGGGAGTTGCAGTATTTGATGCTGTTTCACAAGCCCTGTATCTTCAGTATTTGATGGGGTTTCACAAACCTTTTAACTTCAGCACTTGATGCTGTTTCACAAGCCATGTGACAACCTCAACAGGAATGAACTTTTTTGTTACAATATTTAAACAGAAATTTCGCTGTGCATAGTAATTTACTTGTTAACTTGAATAGTGGTAGACAAACCATATTATTATAATTTTCTTTAAAACTATAGTGTGGCTTTTTTCAACAAAGCTTTTGTAATTCAAGCCAAGTTTTAAAACCTTCCTTACTTTTTTTTCCCCCAAGAAACTTGTGTAACACGTTGGTTGTTGTCTTGATTTTGTTATAAATTGATGCTATTGTATTTTTTTTTACCATAACATATGGTCTACAGCTTGTCATAAGCTGTAGGATGAGAATTTTTTTTTACAAAAGCAAATTTAAACTTGATGTACTTTATGTTTTAGGGAAATTTCAGAAAAGTTGAAGTTGCATTAGGCTTACAGTCTTACAGGGAGAAAAAGAAATTCTCTGCATTATTGGTTTGATGATTTGTGATATGTAAAATGTGGGCAAAGTTGTTTTTTTTTTTTTTGTTCGTTGTATGATAAAATGTTTTAATTTTCTTTCTCAGAAATTAAGCTGCAAGAATGGATTTATGAAGGCATTGAAATATTACCTGAACATATTTTTATAGTCTTGTTAAATACTTATGTCAAGGGACTAAATATGTTTATAATAATATGATGTGTGAGAGTTGCCTGGCCTTGTCTCCTAAAAGGTCCCCAAACTGAACCAGAAATTCAACATGACTTTTTGATGGTTTGCTTGGGAGCCACTATGATGAAGACATTTGTACAGATCACCAGTTTACAATATCCTGAAGTAGTGAGTTGATGCTTTCCCCCCACCCATTTCAAATTTCATTTGTCCTGGTTCTCTGCATCTCCCATTTCACTGCCTTCCCTCATGCCATTTTGTCATTGCATTGTCCCTTTTCTCTAAGATTAATGGTCATTTTTATCATTTTAATTGTTTTAATTTTTTTTTTTTGAAATAAAAGTAACTGGTATCTTGTGATATGGTTGATAATAAAATAATCTAAATAATAATAATCCAGTAATGTGACTTTAATTTCTTGACTACAGCATTGGTAAGAAGCAACAGATTCAGTGAGCTGTAAATGCTCTGCTGGGCTTGTGCAGTATTGAACTGAAACTAGTTCTAATGTAATAAGCATAATAAAATGTCACAATACACTGAGAAGATAATAGTGATAAGTTGTTAGTTTTTTTTCTTATTCCAAAGCAATGCAACCCAATCTTACATGGTACATGTATAACCCATGTGTCCACACTAACTACATGTGAACAATTTGAGTACAATATTGCACAAGGCTTAAACTGCAGACTGCAATCATTCCTTACCTCTAGGAGTTACACAGTGGCAGTAATCTATGGAATTGAAGAATTCTTTTTTTTTTCAATGTGCAGTACATGAATAAAAATTGAATACCTATTTCAAATTGTTTATTTTTCTCATTCTTGATTTTATGCAATAAATATTCTGTAATAACAAAATAAAAATTTGGGATCAAATATTGAATTCATGGCAATCTACCAACAGTGCTTTGGTTGGAGAAATTGTCACGACCAATCGCAGTGGGCTTACTTCTCCTTTCTTTCCCTTTTTGCCTGTGGTAAATCTCTCACCTGCTTATTATTTTCGGTCACAATTCTTTTGATGCACTCTGGGATACTACTTTTCAGCTCATTGCTATATTTAAATCAGTTTTTACCGTTAGTTCGGCTGATGATGGCTTCCTGCCCACATGTTCGGCTGATGATGGCTTCCTGCCCACATGTTCGGCTGATGATGGCTTCCTGCCCACATGTTCGGCTGATGATGGCTTCCTGCCCACGCCACATGTTCGTTGTTTTGTTGCATTCCTTTTTTCAGGGTTTTCCATACTTTGTTTCACTCATTTCCTTTTTTGCTAACCTTATTGTAGTTTCTCCCCCTTATTATTACCTGAGAATTTATGGTGAATATTTAGAATAGATTGGGAATACTGCTAAAGTTTAAGTAAGATGAGGGTGATAAGGGGAGAGATTGCGATCTGGTTAGCAAAATAGGAAATAAGTGAAACAAAGGAATGTCAAACCTGAAAAAAGAACGCAACAAAACAACGAACGTGTCAGCAGGAAGCCTTCGTCAGCGAACAAACACAATAAAATTTAAAAAATAGCACTTGGCTGAGAAGTGGTATTGTTACGTACCGTTGAAAGTATTGATGATTTAATCTCTATCTAATCTATATATATATAATGCGCCAGCAAAGGTCAAACAAGACGCAGGCTATTTATAGATACGCCAGAGAGTGGTTCAATAATGAGTTCACTAACGCGCAAAATATAATTACCGATAACTACGCTATATATCATATATATAAATATATATACATCTTTTTTTTAGTAACGCAATTGCGTTTGGTGCGTAATATTTTCTTTTCGGAAATGAAATCGTCTCAATTTAAGTATTGTGTAAAAAGTATTCGGTTTAAAAGTGGTTGGGACATGAGAATATTAATATAGTTCATGGGCGTGACATAAAAAGTGTGCAGTGACGTACCATAAGGGAAGGGGTGTAGCAAATATTGGGATTCTTTTAAATGTGCGTTACTTGAGTTCATGTTTTGTCAAGTAACTTTAGTAGATGGGAAGATATTGTTATTAAATGTTTGATATTTTGTGACGTATTGCGCGAAAAGCGATATGACGTATTATTATTGTGTAGTGTGGGCTTGTGAGTAATTGCAGTCCAAGATGTAGCTAAGTTGTGTAATAAAGATATTTTATTGAAACAATATATAGTTTGTGAAGTGAACATTCGACACACACCGCTTACATGTATACTCTCGCGGAAATTAATAACATGCTGCAACCACATGGCATGAGCCTCCAAAAATTACAACTACCCGTCATTGACATTCTTCCATTGTCTCATTCATCGACCACCTTCGACGCTCATGCTGAACAGTCCCTCCCTTCGGAACACTGCAACAAATTCAACACAGAACAAAAACACGCTGATGACGCTGCATACATCCATTCCCATCCGCGACAAACATGCTTCTTCTTAGATGGTCCTGCAGGAGCAGGCAAAACTTTCGTCTACAAAAACCCTTATTCATATCATGAGAGGTAGGGGAGACATTCCTACAACCGTAGCATCGACAGGAATAGCTGCAACATTCTTACCAGGTGGACGTACTGCACATTCCGTTTTTAAAATTCCCTTGAAGCTGACCACGACTTCCGCATGCAACATCAAACCTACGTCACTCCACGCTCAACATCTTCTCAAATCCAAAGTGATAATATGTGACGAGGCCCCAATGACACATGCATTCCAGGCAGTTGACAGGTGATTACTTTGCCTCACGGGTGACACGCAGCCATGTGGAGACAAAACAAAACTATTGGGTGGGGATCTCCAACAAATCCTCCCCACATTATGCGTGGCTCCCCATCATTATGCGTGGCTCCCCATCATTATGCGTGGCTGCCGATCATTTACTGTCGCCAATTGCATTAACAAACATCCTTTGTGACGTAACATGCATGTCCTTACACTGACAACAAATATGAGAGCTCTTCCTCACAAACAAGATTTCGCCAAATGGCTCCTTGATGTAGGAGACGGAAAAAATTGAACATTTGTTAAATTACTTTCATATTGTTTTTCTGTTAATTCTAATCGCGTTCAACAACTATATGGAGACATCGACTTCTCAACTGTCACTCCGGAACAACTCAGTACGCGAGCTATAGTAAGCGTCACCAACGAAGACTCCTTACATTTTAATGAAGAAATCTTGAAACTTATCCCTACCGACGAAGTAACTTTCACCAATGTTGACTCCATCGTCACAGACGATCCCGCAGATCAACTGTCATTCCCCGAAGAATTTTGTAACAGTCTAACTCCCACTGGCATGCCTCCGCAGAAACTCAAAATTAAAATTGGTTCAGTTGTCATGCTTATAAGAAACCTCATGCCTGCAAGAGTTCTCTGTAATGGCGCTAGACTGACTGTTACCAACATTCACCGCCATGTGCTAGAGTTTCGAACCATTGCAGCTGCTACCGCAAAAACTGTCCTTATTTCCCGGATTTCCATCACAACATCAGATTCAAATTTACCTTTTAATTTTACACGGCGACAATTGCTCTTAGATCATCCTTTGCAGTGATAATTAAAACGCACAGGGACAAACTTATCTATGAGCAATTATGCGACGTATGCTACGTCGCGGGTCGACTAGTTAGACTATATAGCTCGTTGAAAAACAGTACACAACAAAAGACGATACTATTAATTAAATACACTAATACAGAAAACTATACCCAAACTAGGGCTAATTACAAATTATAATTTTTTAAGTTAATTAAAGTTAAAGATTACAAAATAAAAAAAGATATAAAAACTAAAGCTATTGTCTTACAGTACAGTGATGACTTGTACCGGTACAATGTTTAAGAAGGTACAATGTTGAAAAAGGTACATACACACATGGCAAATAGTGAACAAATCCCTGTCTTGTATAGCAAATCTCTATTCGCTCAATCTTCCTAGGCGTATATATATAATCTGTTTCAGAGACATTCTAGAAAGGGCTTAAACATTATATCCCCTTCTCGATCAATCTCGATATTTCTACATAATTCTACTTTTACAGATTATATTTATTTGTAAACAAGGTGAAGGGAGACTATTTTTTTTTTAGCCACATCCAAATGCGGTGCCAAACTTGGAGTCAGCTAAAGTTCATTCACGAGAAAAGATGAAAGTATCCGAGAGGGCAGCAAAAGAATTGTGACAGAAAATAAGTAGGTTATAGATTAAATAGGGAGGAGGGAAAGAAAAGAGGAGAAGTTAGTCCATTGCGATTGTTCGAAACATGAGGGTCGGGGCTAGGCCCTAGATGTGAATAAAGACATGACGTTCATGCCATGTGTTTTCAAGGTTCCATAGGTCAGGATAGCTTGTGTTCCAAATTCACCCGCCTGAGTGTGTTTGTGCTAGTCACGATCGCACTACTTTTAAATTCTACCGTGCCATTGTGGTCGCTTTTATTGAAGTGTTTATCTTGCGTAATAATACGGAGGTGTTCAGTACAACTGTCAGAGAGTCAACCGCCTGTCTCCCGCATGTATCATATCTGGCAGCAGGTGCAAACAATGGCGTAGACAACATTGCACCTATAGTACGAAGGAAACCGTCGCGTATCTGAAATCTGCCCTTAGGGAAGCGTATGTGTTGAGTCTGGATGACAAAAGGGCAAGTGTTGCAAAGGCTGCGACCTCATGGCTTGGTCCCAAAGTGGGAGGGGGCAGCGTTGATGCGATGCGCACAAGGAGGTCTTCATTGTTTTCAGGCGTGATAAAAATCAAAAGAAGCGACCACAAGGGCACGGTGGACTTTAAAGTTAGTGTGATCGTGACTAGCACTCGGGTGAATTTGGAACACAATCTTATCCTGACTTATGGAACCTTGACACCACAAGGTATTTATTCACAGCTTGAGCCTAGCCCCGCCCCTCGGACGACAAATCGCAGTGGACCAACTTCTCCTCTTTCCCTCCTCCCTATTTAATCTCTCCTAATTATTTACTGTCATAATTATTTTGCTGCCCTCTCGGAAACTGCCTCTCATTTAAGTGCAATTTTTCAAAAATTTTCTTCGGTTGTTTGTTTGCTGACGAAGGCTTCCTGTCGACACTTTCGTTTTATTGTTTGCGTTCCTTTTTTCAGGTTTGACCTTAATTTGTTTCACTCATTTCCTATTAAGTAATAGGAAATATAATGGAGAAAAAGAAGAAACAAAACAGGAATCTTTTCATTAGCGGAATAATACAAATAGAGGAGCAAAAAATGACTTAGGCTGTGTCCCAGAGAACTGCAAAAATGATACCAGTGACCACATTAAGTGTAAGACTATAGCTAATTTTGCACAGGACGGTAGATGGCACATAGTAGACGGTTGGTCCTCTTAACCCCTACAACAGCACTACTCTTATTTGGGGAGTGGGGTACTTATTTACTCAACTCCTAAAAATAGTTGACTTATTCGGCTGTTCATTTTATATCCATAACTGGTACTGGGGACAGCCCTGAATGAATTCAAATCTACTGCGAGAAGGTAGAGAAGATTCAACGGGGACAACAAACAAGTTTTTAAAAAAACAAATTATCTGGGTCCAGGCGTGGAAGACAGGGTGGAGGGACGGTTAAACCAAACATGGTCAAAAGTTTATAGATAAAATCTTGATCGATTGCTATATTTCACACAACTTAATTATGCCTTTAATTAACCCCGTCTGGGGCAAACGCATAGGTCGTCCATAAGACTTTTTTTTTATTCATCTCGGTCCTGTGCTTTCCTGTCCAGTTGCTTCCAGGTGTATCCTATAATTGGTGTGTCTGTCTCTAGCTCGCGTCTCC